ATATGTATGTATATAGTCATCATCAGGTTCATATTTGACTAGATCCAGAAATTCTGGAAGGTCAGAAGCTTCGGTTCCCAACCCTGATACTTATTTGCTGCTAAACGTTGGAGACGGTAGTCTTGAATCTCTCCAGGCCTCAGATGACCATCTATGAAATCAGACGGTGAAATCAGACATCTGAAGACTGGTGGAGCGTCTGACTTCTGTGATGCACCCTGAGTGCATCAGGAAGCAGAAAAAGTAGAATTTAGGTGGATGCTGCATAGTCTTAAATCCACAACATGGCACCTCTCATCACACTCTCCAGAGAAGTAGAGAACAACCGAGAAAACAAGACGCCTGGAGCACACAAGCCGGCAGCCACAACAGAGATCCCACCTTCAAGGGGAGATGATGCAGAAGGACCTGCGTGCGTGCCTGCCGGCAGCAACTCACGCCCATTCTCCAAGTCCATTTCCCCCTCTTTGCAAAAGGGAAATAATCATACCTGTCCTATTTACCCCCAGAGAATTGTGGTTGCCGCTAATGCGCCCAGGGACTCCCGAGTTCCAACCTGCGTGCTTCCCCCTAGAGACTTGGCTCCTGGCTCAGCTAAAACCGATCGCTCCTGGCTCAGCTAAAACCGATCGGGCTCTGGCCACCCTCTTCCCGGACTCCCCTGGCTCCTAAAGCGCAGAGCTGTGACTACGAACTGTCACGCTGTCACCTTCTCCCCGCCCGCCCATCAGTCCTGGTGCGACTCTGCACTGGGGGACATCTCACCGGTCAGCAGTGTACGGCACCGGTGCGCTCCTTCTGGTGACGCGGTGGTAGGCACGGTGAGCTGCCCTATTTATAGCGCGCTACTCGCTACACCCCCCTCTGGGACTGGCTGCAAACCTGCATGACTCAGGCCCAAAGAATGCCGTGGAATGCACAGGGAGCTTTCTAGAAGCCTGCGCGGGGAGGAGGCCAGTGCAGCACCAGGCAGGGGCGCAGGGGGGCGCATTGGCACCGCTAATGGCCATGCGGCTCTGGGGAGAGCCTGCTTCCCCCAGCTTCCGGGGGCGCTCAGAGCCTGGATTGGCGCTTGAGAGAGAGATGAGTCTGAGTTCGCGTGCTGAGTCCGCTCTCCACAGGGTTAGAACTCACTAAGCGCTTGGAGGGGCCCTATCCAGAATACAGCCTCACGGTTCCTTGGGCCTCTTGAACGTTAGTCTTTCAAGTCAAATCCTCCTCAATTGTCTTGTTCCATTTAAGTTGTCAGAAGTAATGACGGAGGGTGTGGAGCCAGAGAAGAGGACACATGAAGTGTTGAAATGCCGTCCACCCCCCTGCCATCACACTGACCTGGTGGCTCCCCACAAGACTCTCAGGGCGGGGAGAAAACCAAATGTGATTGGGAATGAGCAGAGAATGAATTGGAAGAGCTTAAGCAATTGTTGTCCCCATCCAATCAGGGTGGGCTTCATGGATATGGAACCCAAGCAACTCCATACTTGGTTTTATGCATCACAGTCTTTTATGTCACAGTCTTCGAATTCTTACAGTTTTCGTACCAGGGGCCCTGTATTTTCACTTTGCACTGGGCCCTGCTAGTTTGCTGTTCAATATGTGTCCAGAAGGGTCCACTTGTCCCCACTGCTGAGAGCAGGGAGCAACTCTTGTCATGCCTACCCCACCCCTGGCAGCGCTCAGAAGGCACAGTTACTGGTTGAGACCCACAAGACTTAGCACCAGGAGGGAGGGAAGGGGTTGAGGGTTGCTGTCAAACAAGTAGACAGGCAGGTGTGGGAGGTTCACCTTAGGGTGGCTCACTTCCTAAAGGAGGCTTGTGTCAAGGGCTGAGTTTTCCTGTTCATGACTGTCCCAGCACAGCTCGGAGCCCTCCATTGTCTAAGGTCCTGGACAGCTAGGCCCCTGCCCCTTTTCGGGAGGCAGCTCAGGGAGAGCTGCTTGGCCTGTAAGAAGTGGGAAAACTGCGTTTGTTGCGTGGAAGGTCTAAGGACTGTCCCAGCATACACCAAGGCACTGGGTGACCTTGGACCAATCACCTCACCCTCGGGCCTCAGTTTCTTCCCTCTGGACAAAGAGGAATCTGGAATGCAGCACCTCCGAGGTCCCCTTTGCCCTAACCTGATGCAATGCCAGGCGTGAGAACAGCATCGGCCCAGAAGAAAACATAATGCAGCAAGAACTTGGAGTGAGTTTTCCCAAGTAGAGGTACCACATAATTTCCTTAAAAAAAAAAAAAAAAAAAAAAGGAATAGAAGGAATATCAGTAACAGCTACATTTTCTGTGGCAGCTGCCTCCTCCTTAGCGTATCAACACCTGAGGTCAGAAGAACTGTTTTTGAGCTCGCTCCTTGTAACTCTTCTGTTCTGCATTCCCCCCACCCCCGCATCCGATAAGGGAGGCATAAATTTACAATTGTTGTATTTATAAGAATTGGAGGTCAGGCAGGAAGTTCTGCCTTTGTCAGCTCCTGGAGTCAGGGAGAAGGGAGGAAAGACAGAATGCATTTGGGAGAAAATAGTGTGATTCACAGGCACAACTGTGATCCTCTGGGGATGACTACTTGATTACTCTAGCTACTAAGCAGATAGAATTCAGAAGACTATAGGGAAAAGACTATAAAATTTGAAAGCACCATACAAAGGAATCACTGGAATTGGTTTTTCTTTCTTTCATTTTTTCTTATTGCTATAGGGTGTGTATGCTTGACAGAAAGACAGGAGGAAAGTGAGAAAAGCACTCCCCCTCCAATGGGGGCTGACCACACCTCCAATCCTGTCTCCTCCATTCTCCTCTCAGGATTATGGCACACACACACACACACACACACACACGTGCCCAGCGTGTTACCAGATCCAGGATTTGAACCATGCAGTCAGCCATGTGAGACCATATATCTTAACTCCCACACAACCGAATGGCCCAGATTTTATAATATTCACAGTAGATTCTAGAGATCAACTGGTGAAGTCCTCACACACTCCTTGATTCCCACCCCAACAGCAACATCCTCTCCAGATGGCTATCCTGCCTGTGTTTGAATGCCACCGGGACTGGGAACTCACTACCTCCCATGCAACTAGTTTTCTAGGAGAGCTGTTGATAGAGTCAGGACCTTCCAATAAGTTCTAGCCCAGTTCTGTCCTGTGACTACACAGAGCACATCTAACCTGCCTCTCCTCCTGACTACCCTTCTGGTATTTTAAAGCAAGTTAGTCTGCTTTTCCCGGTGACTTCTGGGCTTGTAGCTCCTCACTTTGTCAGGGTCTAAACTCTCCCTTGACCTTTGGCTTTCTGGACCTTGCCTCTCTTGAAGCCCCAGGCCCACCACAGGAGCTGCCAATGATAGGGGCAGCCTGACCACCCAGGGCAGAACAGGACAACCCCCTCCCCTGCCCTAAACACTCCAAATAAGCTTTTATCTAGATGCTGAGTCACTCAGCTGATTCATATAGAATGCATCATCGTTTTGGCAGGTGCTGCTGTGCAGTCGTCTTTCTCCCATTGTAGACTTAAGCAGCTGGGTTTAGGACTTTAGGTTGGTGTAAGGGAGACCATGGGGAAGGAGGGAGTCAGAGCTTTATATTTCTGTGTTTATCTCTGTGCTTTGCCCACCATCTTTGGCTGCTCAAAAGTCTTGGGGCCATATTGCTGTGCAGCAAATCCTAGCTCTGCACCCCGACCCCAGCTATCACCCTGCTCAGTGCCACCAGAATGATAAGTCAGCTACCACAGATATAGCTGGAACAAGTGAGGAATGGAAAAGGCCAGAGTTCTGTGGTCGATCCTTAAGAACCACTCTCTAGGCTGTGATTACTTAATGGGTGCATTTGTCAACTGCAGGCCCGTGGTAAAATCATGGATAAGAAAATCATATACACTAATATCAGCCCGCAGGACGAGATGCAGAGTTATCACGAGTGCTTTTTCCAGGCCTCTTTAAAGGCCAGAAATGTTCCCTCTAAGTTGGTTTCTTTCCTCTTCCCACTTAGGATCATTTTGGGAAAAGGCTTGAGGATGGCCAATCCCAAGTGGATAATCAGGTGCCTATAATTAGACAAACAGTACCTAAACTTTCTTCACTGAGCCTTAAGCTATTGACTATGATGTGGCCCAAAATTCACTCCAAAGTCACTCAGCTCTGATCTTCAGCTCCAATTGGTAGGATAATGAGCCTTAAAAAAAAAAAAATAATAGCTGGCCCCAAGGTCTGCCGTAAGTCAAGCCTGCATGGACCAGCTCAGTGGCACCGCTGTAAGATGTTGCTTGAAGGGTGCAGGATCCACGTGGAAGTTCGTGGGTTTGGTTCTCTGGTCAACCTGTACGCACTGCGTGTGCATGCCCATGATCTGGCTAGCTGGGAAGGGTAGGGGGGTCTTGGTCTGAGGCCTTGTTGAGGGTACTTGTCTTTCTGTGTGTGTGTGTGTGTCCCTCACTCTTACAAAATATCGATAAATAAACTTAAAAAAAAGAAAGCCCCACTTTTTTACAACCTCCCCTTCCCCCCAGGGTTCAGCTAATATTTATTTTAGATCAATAGTTCTCAAGCCAGGTGGTGGTGTAGTGGTTAAGGTGCTGGACTCCCACATGGTTGACCACAGTTTGAGTCCCAGACCAGTGGCTTAAAATACGTCAGGTTCATGTGCATAGATGCCCAGAATCCCAGGAGGAGAGTAAAGCAGGGATTGTGGAATGGCTATCTCCCCCAGTAAGGGGTGATTTCTCACTTTCTGCCTCTCTGTTTCTCTCTGTCTCACCAGTGAGTACATATACCCTATAGTAAAAATCTCTCAAAAAAAAAAAAAATCAATGGTTCTAGTGGAGCCGTCCATGGATATGGTATACAAGATCTCCTGGAGTGCCTGAGTCCCACCTTCAGAAGCTGTGATGGGATTCACATGGGAGCAGTCAGAGTGCTTAGATTTTTAAGCACTCCATGCAGTTTTGTTTTTTAATTAATTAATTTACTTTTAATTTGCTATAGGGTGCATGCACTCATCAGGGAGAGACTGAACTGAAGAGACACAGAGAAAGAGAGACACACAGAAAGAGGGGAAGTGAGAAAGTATCCTTTGTGGGGATTGCCACACCAAAGTCCCTTCTCCTCCCTTCTCTCGGGATTTTGGGCATGCACGCATATGTGCCTGGCATGATTTTAAAGTTGCCAGGTCCCGGACTCGAACCATGCAGTTGGCTGTGTCAGATTCAGCCACTTCAATCACCATGCCACCTGCTGACTCCCTGCAGTTTTAATGAACAGCCAAAGTTGAGGACCCCTGCTTTCACATTTACAAATTGTTGGCTTATACTTTACCCCATTTGATCCTCACTGTATTTCTATGTGTTCACTGTATTATTATGAAAGGGTGTGGAGTTATTCCCATTTTACAGAAAACTGAGAGGGAGTGGACATGGTCAAAGGAATCTTAGTTAGCAGGTTTTTGCTTACCCAGAGCTGAAGTCTGCCTCCTTATAACTTCTTTGTCTTCTATCATATTTCTAAGACAATATATGATAAGTTGCCCACTCCTAGGGTTGATAAGACAGCCCTAGGAAAAAAATCTAAAAAACAAGGTTGCAACTCAAGAATACCTCCTCATACAGGTTCTACAGGTCCTTCCCATTGAATGAAGGTGCCAGTTACCTCATTCACCTCATCTCTGCCCTTAGGGTGCTCCATTTTTTTCATTGTCCCTTTGGTGTGGTTTTCAGAACTCACACAAGACACCAGCTTTGGCTGGCCAGGTGGAAAGGCAGCTCTCTGGCCTCCAATGCACTTCTGCTTACTGTTGTATTAACACACCATGTTTCTTAAATTGGTTTAAACTGGCCACTGGGCAAGCCATGGTGAGCAGGAGAGACGAGAGACACAGAAGCCACTGGCTCCAGGTCTACTCAAAGATTTCAAGAGGAAACTTAGTGT